ATTGCATTGATACGCCCTTCAAGTCTAGTGTTAAAAATCAAGAAAAATTATTCTACAGAAAACAGTTATGCAATGACTATACAGTAGAGTGGTGTATCTTGGACTGTTCCTCACCCTTGATTGTGTTGTATAGGGAGGGGGGGAGGGGGGGAGTGACAGCATTTCAGTATTCACGATGTTTCGAGTACACATACAGAACACCTAATATATTATGTATGCTCTCAATGCTACACAATCTTCTGACCAAGACAAGCAAGCAAAGGTGAGAATCAGAAATAGGGTGACAAGAGGCACGATAGCATCAACTGAGCATCTTCTCAATAGCACTAGTAGTATCAGCTGGAAGTGCCAATTTCATTCATTATGTGCCTCTTTATTCACAAAATAGTAGTCTCTAATCTCCCTAAACCTCACAAGAACAGCTTGCTGGGTTTCAGTCTTTTTAATTAACTTGTATATCAGATTATAAACGATAAAGCTTTTAGCAATTTAACAAAGTCCACATACTATCAAGATTAATTACAGTATGGTATATTCCCAGCATAAAATACATTGTGAAGGAAGGGAGTAGTGCACAGTTGGCCACAACACTAGGTTGGTTCTCCACTGGGATCACTCTTCGCACACTGACGAGAATACGCAGATGTCGAAGTTGGTGCAGATGCTGCAACGCACCAGTGGTTCGATGTAGCACACAAACATAGATGCACACAGGATATCACACGTGACTAACATTCTTACTGGGTCTTTTCCTTATTTCCAATCGGAAGAGCAGCCTTTACCCTGGAGGGAAGAGGGAGAAAAAAAAGTTCATGTACAGCAATTATAAAATACAACTGAGTTTTGAACATAGGAAAAAATTTAAGCATGTCATAATAAAAAGATATTAAAAGAACGTAATTACCTAACTACAAGTTTAAAAATTAACAAGTCGCTCAAACTGTAAATTATATTTCCTTTGTTCACATTTTTACTTATATTCCAGTCAGGGCTGGTTAATGGCAATTGTGGATGACAGCTCTAGACACAGATCTCTCATTCTTGTTAAACTAAAGAATTTTTGTTGCAGGCATGATCTAATTTCTGCAAATGCTAAGTGCTACTATAACTTTTTCCCATATTCAATAACCTTTGGGGAAAATTTCATCAGAACTTACCATTCAAGTTTGGTTTCCAAAACTGATGAGGTCTCAGCATCCTGCTTTCGCTAAGCTCATCACATGTGTAACCCAGTCTAAGTTTGTATATACGTGTATTATGATGACTGTGTAGGTGGTGGATATTTTTATGGGTATACAGACAATATGCAGACCCAAGCTTTAATTGGGATATTTCACACTGGGTTGATCTTCACCAAACTCAGCCTTGAATGAAAGTCTTAAAAGCCTGTTCTGCATTATGTGCTTTTATACCCATACCTAGTGGCATTATGCCTTTACATATGGATATTTTTATACAGTATTTAGCAAGATTTCATTTTCCTGTATTACCTTAATTCTGTCCAAAATACTGTGCATATTATGAGTTTTTACATGCCATAATCATACCTTAAGAGTAATGTACTTAGAAAGTGCTTCTCAAAACTGGTCTTTTTCCACTTGCCTATTTTTTTTTCCCCATTCAAGACAGCCATTTACAACTATTCCATAATGTTTCTGAATCTTGACACCAACTTCAAATTTGGTGCAAGGTACTCTAAAGTCTATATAGCAGTGTTATGATCAGAGATACTGACCAAATGATATCTAGTATTCAGTTTAATATTCCTCTGGCACATTAGTACATGCAACTTTTGTTCATGGAAATGGAGCACTTCCTACATGCCAAAACCTAACCCATATTTACTGCATCAAAGGTGTAAAATTTATTTTAATTATCAAATTACAGTAGGGCCCCCGTATCCACAGGGGATATGTTCCTGCCTTGAAACGTGTGTTTATTATGAAGTTTAATTAATAAATTATGCACACTAAGTGGAGAATTATTACTTTTTCACTAATGGGAAGCACTTCAAAGCTTCTCTTAGACTTTAAAGAACTACCAGCTTCTCTACTTTCACACTTTAGGGCCATTATTATGCAAAATTAAGAGGTATTTTGGGCAACAGTAAACCATGGATAAGAAACCGCAGATACCAAATCAGTGGATATGGGGGTTCTACTGTATACTGAACCCTCAATTTAATAGACTTGTAGTGGGAGCATGTGGCCAGTAATAGTGATCGTTTCAGAATCGACTAAGATTTACAATGAGGTGGCAAGCACAGGGAATTCTTAATATTTGGTAACCTGGAACCATTTAAAGTTAAAACACATCACAAGTAACAAAACGAGTCTGTGGTTTGGGCGATTCTTATTACACGTATGCGAAATTTAAATATTTAATAAAAGTTCTTACTTCGACATGACATCATTGACCTGGTTGCGAACAAGGCCCACATACTGATCAATCTGAGCCTGGTTTTGTTCGTACACCTTGGGGAGAGTAAAGAGTGCTACCACAGCCAGGGTTACCAAAGTCAGTCCGTTGAACCAAGACCCAACGTATGTCAGACACCAAAGCAAGCAACCAAACTGCAGAAAATGAATAAAATAAGTACACATTTTTATATGAACTTTTTACCACCATGCATACACCTATATACATAACCACAAGTGTAAATGTACATTACAGTATCCCTGAATTAAAATTTAACAATTCCCATAGATGTATAGGGAAAGTACCTGCATAAAACATTGTAAAAAATGGAATATACTATGTGACACCTATGCCATTATTTTCAGTCTACTCCAAACCTGATAATTCAATTTTTTCCTAATCCTGGGTTACCTCACTCTTTGGTTATATAGGATCTATTAGCAACATGTCCCACCATGTTGTTCACAAGCTATCTTAACACTAAACCAAATTTAAATATTTTCGCTAAATAATTTTCTAATACTAGTTCAACCAAACTATTAACAATTATAATATATGGTACTTACTTTGACAGAGTCAACAAGATCTTCCACAAGGAAAAGTCGCTTGATTTCAGAAAAGACAGGGTTGAACCAATTCACAAAGGCATCACTGAAATCACGTGCCTTTTCTTGAGGTAGGTCAGTATCCAATTCCAGGAGGCTCCTAGGAAAGATTTACAACACGTTTCTTTAACATTTACAAAAATCCTGAATTGCATTTAGCATTTAATAAAATGATCTTGAGGAAGTGGAGGTTAAGAATAAGAATCCGAAGAGTGGCAAGTTAAGAGGCAGGGCGAGGACCCAAAAATCAACCCCTGCAACCACAAATAAACAAGTACAGTACAATCATACCTCCATGTGTAATTACCAAATCATTAGCAGTAAATCAAAACACACAGCATGGCTTTATTAAAATGACACTCCACTCAATGGAATGGTATGGCAAGAATGAAGAACTCGTAAGGATCACTATATACAAAGCTCAAAGAGGGTTACCAAATAGAATGAAAGGAACATGTAAAAAGACCTGGGAATAATTATGTCAGCTGACCATTCTTTTAAAGACCATAACAAGAGAGATCATGGCAGCCAGGAAGATGATGGGGTGGGTATTGATAACTTTCTAAACATGAGAAATAATGGCAATGGTGACACTAAATCGCTAGTGCTACCTCATTTAGAATACTGCTCAGTGCTGACGGCCCCATTCAAAGCAGGAGAAATAGAGCCGGAACAAATACAGAGATAATTTACAGCTCACATTGAGCCAGTAAAGCACCTAAATTACTTGGAAAGCTTTCAAGTCTTGAATATGTACTCATTGGGGCGGAGGAGATACATGATAATATATATGTACCTGGAAAAATATTCGAGGGCCTGGTTCCAAATCTGCACACTGCCATAACATACTGGAGTGAGATATAAGGGAGGAAGTGCAAAATAAACCCAGTGAAGAACAGGGGTGTGGTGGGGGCAATAAGGGAACAATGTATCAACATCCCGAGGTCCCAGACTATTCAACATCTTACCAGAAAATATCAGAAACACGGCTGGAGCAAGTGTAGAAGACTTCAAGAGAAAACTGGACAATATCTTCACCAGGTGCCAGATCAACCAGGCTGTGATGGATACACGAGGCAATGGGCCTCCAGCAGCAACAGCCTGGTTGACCAGGCAAGCACCAGACGAGCCTGGCCAATGGCTGGGCTCCGAGAGTAGTGAAACTCTCGAAACTCTTCAAAGGTTTATCAAAAGGTAAACATACACAGGATAATTGTGTGTGATTATAACAAGGTATAGGCTAGGTACTATGAAAATTTACTGTACAGTGGTACCTTGGTATACGTCCGCTTTGGAATAAGTCCAACTTGGTATATGTCCTGTTCGGACGCAAAATTTTTTTGCTTGGTATACAACCTTTGTTTGGAATACGACTCACATGCTAGAAATTGTATGGGTCAAAATGATTCACGACACCATGCACAACATCCTGAGGAGAAAGCAGAAACAAAGTTCTTTGGACAGATTTTTAGTGAAAGTCAAACCTGGTGAGCTTCAATCAGGTAAAAATAGGTAAAAAAAGAAAAAAAAGAGAAGGGGACTCTCCTTCCAAACATTATTTCCTCCTCCCTTCTCAGCACTATCCTAGTAGGCACTACTTTTCGGCCAAGTAAAACGAGGCTAAATTTATATTTATTTCATCTAATTCTTTTGTATTTATGTATTTTAGTATTAAGCAATGTTTAAATTTTTTATACAACCCCACCAATGTATAATATGCCAATAACAATAGGATTTTTTTCATGGGAACGGATTAATCGTTTCCCTATATTTCTTATGGGAAAATTCATTTGGTACATGTCCTGTTTGGTACAAGTCCAAGGTCCTGGAGTGGATTAAGGATGTATACCAAGGTACCACTGTATTTACTTTAAAAATGCCATAACCTGTGAAATCTAGACTGCACTTAACATATATTACTTACTTGAAAGGGTGTCCATCTTGTGACTTCTGAATTGCCTGCATAATATTTTTGTAAACTCTGTAGATAATGGTTACAGTAAGGACGATCAGCGAAGTGTAGGACACTACAGAAATGAAGGATACATAGGCCAGAGATATAAGGAGCGCAAGGAATGCTCCAAAAACTACAGCGGTCTTCTTCAAATCACGCCAGTAGATCAGGTCAACCACTGAAAAGCAAAAATATAATCAGTACTTATTGCAAATACATAATTTACTGCAAACAGTAATAGTGCATAATACAACAGGGCAAAAGATACACAACTTTAAAACTATTTATCGAGAGTAAATATTCTGTCTGCCTAAATTACGACATACCAAGAGTACTGAACTTGCATAAAATAAAAATACATTAATGACACAGTATTCATCCCTATATTAATGACATACAGTATTCATCCCACTGTATAGTGCACTAATGCATTATACAGTGGAACCTCTGTTTTTGTATGCCCTAGTTTGTATGTAAAACCATAGTTATTATCTATAAAATGTATTTTCTGTTAATATTTCCCACAAGAAATAATGTAAATCCAATTAATCTGTTCCAGACACCCAAAAATATTAACAAAAAATACATTTTAGAGAATAACTATGGTTTTACATACAAACTAGGGCATACTAAAATAGAGGTTCCACTGTACTTTAAAATGCAGCGAGCCTTAAAATTATGAAACTGCAAAGATAATCGGTTTGCAACAAAATTAATTTTCCTACATCAATTTCAATACCATCCCTGCTAATGACCTACTGGACTTTCAGTACAATACATTCCAAACTTTTAACAAATAACCCATTCCTATTAGCTGTACAGCAAGCAGTACATTAAAAGCTTCCAAGAAAAATACCACATTTTAAATGTTGCAGTTCACATCATTAATGCAAAAACAGTACATACATGAAGCACCTTAAGAGGTGTCACCATGACCAATGGGAATTTGAGACAGGACAAGAGACAAATCTCAAAACCAACAAACTACTAGGCAACTATAGTTACCATATACAATGTTAAGTTACAGGTCAACATACAAATAGCCTTGAGGTTGAGTGTGCATCATTTTCTTGCACTTTATGTTCATAAACTAAGCATTCAAAGTAACCAAGAAGCCACAGTTACATTAACCATAAAATAAGCTTCATTCAGGTTTACTTCAGTATTAAAATCAATCAATCTATCCTCCTTTTACTACATTAATTTTCTAGTGTTTCAAAGTCTATTTCTTAATGCTCCCTAGAAAAAGAAATGAAATTCTAATTTATAATAATAATATAATAATAAATAATAATAATAATAATAATAATAAATAAATAAATAATAATATTTCTACAAGTACATTTACAAGGTATACAGGCCCAGCTGACATCAATGACACTACTACATATACAGGAAGCCACTTATGCAGAGCATTTCTGGCAAATTAGGTCAGTTTTGTCCCAGGATATGACCCACACCAGTCCACTAACACCCAGGTACCCATTTTGCTGATGGGGAACAGACAACCAGTGTAAGGAAACACGCTCAATGTTTCTACCCACGCCATGTTAAGCAAGAGCTATCTACAAGGCTAATAATCATACAGCAGCCAATTAAAAAAAATAATAAAGTTGACAGAACAAGGGCTGTAGTGGTCCATACTAGGCAAGCCCTCCTCAAACCCAATCTCTCTCACTTTGTCCAATTTATTATTGAAGCTACAAAAAGTACTATTTGTTCACCACTCAACACTGTTACCCTCATCTTCAACTACAGTACTATTTCTATACCAGTATGTGCCTATGTCCTTGCCATATCTCAATTTCTCTAGCCTTAATCACACACATCTGGCAAGGTGATGGCTGCACAATACAAGGATGGTTCAAATCTGCCCAAGTATCACTCTTGGTGACAGAATTGGTGGCAATACAGTGGACCCTCACTTAACGATCACCTCCCAATGCGACCAATTATGTAAGTGCGTTTGTACGTGTATGTTTGGGGGTCTGAAATGGACTAACCTACTTCACAATATTCCTTATGGGAACAAATTCGGTCAGTACTGGCACCTGAACATACTTCTGGAATGAAAGAATATCGTTAACCAGGGGTCCACTGTATTTATAAAGTACAATATTTGCAACAAAAATGTCCGGTCCAGCGTTTTATGGCCTACTAATTTAGTTCATATATCGCACACTCATAAAATACACCTAAATACCATAGGCTCAAATTCCTGGTGAGAATTTTTTAAAGTAGGCCTTAGACAAGGATGTGTTATGTCACCGTGGTTGTTTAATATATTTATAGATGGGGTTGTAAGAGAAGTGAATGCGAGGGTCTTGGCAAGAGGCGTGGAGTTAAAAGATAAAGAATCACACAAAGTGGGAGTTGTCACAGTTGCTCTTTGCTGATGACACTGCTCTTGGGAGATTCTGAAGAGAAGTTGCAGAGATTGGTGGATGAATTTGGTAGGGTGTGCAAAAGAAGAAAATTAAAGGTGAATACAGGAAAGAGTAAGGTTATGAGGATAACAAAAAG